TTAATATTAAGTCCAACTGACTTGGAGTTTGGAGCTAGATCCAAATCCAAACTCACTCTAAAGTTACTGCAAGAGCATCAGGGTTCTGGTCTGGGGCCCTGTAAGAGCTTCATTAGCCTCCAAGTCTTCTCCACCAGGTCTTTAGCACCACCTTTGAAAACCTCCCTAAAGATGATGCATCAGGCATCCATCCTGATGGATAAAAGCTACTCAGGGATTTGACTAGTATTAGGACCCTTCCTACCAAGGACTCCAAATTCAGGCATCCCTTACAGCTAGCACTGTTGGAAAGAGCAGTGAGCTAGTGTCTCCAAATTTTAAACTCATACTAGAAAGCAGCAGCTGGCTTTTACTTAATCATCACCTTTAAAATAGCATCCATTCTCTTTTACTCCAGTAAGCTTTTCTCCATAACAATGCAGGAGGCCTGCACCATACTGTGTGGGTTGGCATAGCTCAGGTGACAGAGAGCAATTACACTCTGTTCCTTGCAGAATCATCACATCCAAACACACAAACAAGGGTCCCTGGGCTCTGTTAGCCCCCACCCTCCCCTTTCAAGAACAGACCAAGCATGCATGGCCATGTTTTGCCCACAGTTCTCACCTATCTTCAGCTGTCCCAAGCAATGGAAAACACCTTCCACTCTCCCTGAAGCTGCAGAGGTAGCAATCTTTGCTGTGCCTCCACTTGCAGGCAAACAGGGGCACAGTATGTTAGCGCCAACTTCTTTGTATCAAGGAGAAAGGGACACAGGCTAGGAAGATGCAGCATAAGCAAGCCCTGGGTACATAAATAAAATATGGAATTTGTCCTGACCTCTTACACACACCCCAAGGATGTAATTTTGGCACATTTTCAAAGTTTGACCTCTTTTCTGATCTTTACACAACTTCCTGGGAATCCAAGCAGCAGGCAGAATTTCTTAAACTTGTCTATGTCTTAAGCTGTTACCTTGCTCCTTGCAAGCTCTCTTTTGTGAATTTTTATCTATTATTTGAGAAACCCTTATTAGCTTACACAAAGGAGAAACAAGCCCTGCAGCCCTGGAACTAGCAGAATCAGGTACTGCACAGATTAAGGGGCTAATTAAACTGCAGCCAAGATGTAGGACATATCAATCAAATTCTGAGATATCTTAAAACTGCTCTTCCCCATTTCCCCCATTTTGATATGATCTCTAACGTAAATAATTTTGATTTACATTTAATTTTTAATGTAAATCATTTTTATATGTTCTCTTGTAAACTGCCACTCACTTCTTTCCCCTCCATTTCCCCATAGCCTTATTGCTTTTCATCCTTGTACTTTCCATGCTCTCCTCTCTTGAACAATTTGTCTCCTCCTTAGACTGAGTACGAGTCTAAGGACTGATTTTCCCCTCTGGTTCAGTAGCTTAACTTTTACTCTTAATTAAAATATACTCTGCATCCTAAACCTGATGGGTGCGTCAGTGTCATAACAAAAAACAAGTACTTGGATCAAGCAGAAGCAGGCTCATGAACTTGGACTTAATCTACATGAAAGCTCAAGGTAATTCATACATAACCTTGTCTCATTACAGTGATTATGGAGTCTGTTGTGTGCACACATCTCACCCAAGTCTCTGGCTGTCTCCGTTCCAACCTTACCTACCTACCCTTTGAATTACTTTAAGTCAAGCTGCTATTGCGAGCACAATTACTTGGACACACAGTAACTCGACTCTGCCTATCTTTGTACTTATACAGTTCGTGGTGTTTCAGCATCTGAGCAACTCAGACTTAATTCACCACCTCTACTTTCCTGTGAGGTAAAAAAGGAGTTCTTATTTCATAAACAGCAACAGGAAACGACTCACCCAGGCAATCAGAGAGCAAGGACCTGAGCCCTAAGTTCATACAAAACCTGAACCCTTTCTAGCCTGTCCCATTAACTTCTCCTTCCTGTGGCTCTAAAAATAGCTGTAAAGCACATAGTTACCCCAAGACAAAATAAAATCTGTATAGGCTCCCTCTCAGCATAAGCCAGGCATGATAGACACATGACAACTTACATGACTTTGCGGAAGGAAAGCTTTTTCCTCAGAGAAGATACACGCAGATGGCAGACCTGCTTCACTGCTGTGCTGCAGGACGCCTTTTCAGGGTATGGGTTCTGGACCATGGCAGTACTTCACAATGCACAAACCAACAGCAGCACTCACACCTCAAGAAAAAGAATTGCTAGAGAGCACCGAAGGCATCTGCCAGCAGCAGGACAAAAATTCTCAGTCTTCTCTGAAAAGACCTGAGGCTTGGAGCATGGTCCTTGGAAATCTGTCACTGAGAAGTTAACTCCACTAGCAGCACCCCCAGTACCATCTTTTACAGTAAGAGCAGGCAGGCAGTTAAGATCTTGGATATGCCTAGTCCAGATTTCAGCCATCCTCAGCTATGTATTCCTCTCCATTTTTTTTATCCCAGAGTCAACTCAGCATCCCTTTACTTTTGGCTGGGGTAGCTTCTTTCAGCGCTTTCCCAGGTGTACTGAGGTTGGTGCAGATCCTCACTTGCTCTCTGCTCTAACCCTTCAAGTGCAGCACAGGCTCCTTCTGCCTGTGATATCAGAGGCAGCATGCCAAGAGAAGGTACACCTTTCAGTACATACCACATGGTTTCTTGCTCTCCCCTCTTCTGCCCTACTCAGCTGAGCTTTTGTCACAACTTACAGGACTGCTGAAACCCTGGGTGGCTGTGGGTTTTTTTGGTATTTGGGGTGGTTGTTTGTTTGGGTTTTTTTTTTAAGAGTTACTGTATAATAGTCAATTGATCAAGTAAACAGAACTGCCTGTAGGTCTTTAACAGAAGCAGAGAGCTCCAAACCTGTGGGTGGAGGACCTTTTGTTAGTGGTCAAAAACACTACAAGAGCAGCAAGAAAGACCCTCCTCATTCAATTTTCAAGGGTCTAGCAGTGTCAAGATGCCTCAAACAACCTTCAACTTTGCTAACAGGAATAGTAAATAGCAAGCTCTCAAAGGTTTTGTTAGCCTTCTAACTAATTCATGTCCAGCTTCACACCTCACATGAAACTCAAAATGTGTTGGAGTTATTTTTTTTTATTAAGTTTTACGAGCACAAGCCACCAGTGTCCAAAGGAAGACTATACCAGTGGAGCCTGATGCAATCACATTGGCAAAGGAGGAAAAAACCAAAGTGGCAATGGCAATTTACTAGCCCTCATATGGATCATTTTAGGATCAGTGTCCTCCATGAAAACAAAAAGTTGCTTGTAATTAAATCTAGGCAGCAGGAATGTTGCAGGTCCCCAGTAAGAGAGGTCAGCAGGCTCAACGTCACCCTGGCTCTGCATAAATAGGTCTGAGATCTGATTGTGCTGCACCTAAAACACGTCCCTTCCAGCCAGGAAGATATTCTGAGCACCAATCTAAAGGCTCCAGTTTAGTCTACATCTGAAACAGGCAGCACTTCCAAATTATTCCCTTCTTGCTATTCCCAGAAATCCCCCATCTGAGTATTAATGAAGCCTAACCCTGTTTAACCTATGAAATCCCAGATCCAATGGTGTAACAGCATGCATTACACAGAGGAAGCCCAGGTATGACTTAAGGACCCATCTGCTTTGCTGTCAGATTCCTTATTTCCTGGTTGTAAACACCACTCCTCACTAGTCAATTATGCCAGGCTCTGCAGCACCAGAGACTGATAATTGGAGTGAAACATATGGAGGAAAAGGTTAGATACAACTACCAAGTGCTAATTCTGAGCCAAACTCTGCTGGGATATTAATTAGCTCTTCAGGGTCAGGATGTTCTCTCAAGTGAGTCAATTCCTCAAGATGCCTACTCAGCTGCTACTCAGTTCTTAATCCATTGGCCTTTGACATCATAGTGGGGAATCTGAGTTCAGTAAGCATTTGTCCTACTACACAGTTAGTAAGAAAGACCTCTGACCTCAGAGACAGCTTATATGGAATAACTGAGTAACAGACCCGAAACAAACACTCTTCTGAGGGACCATGCGTGGATACAAGCACGCAGAGTGGAAGATGCCACATTCAGATGCTTCTCGTAATCCACTACGCAGCAGCACAAAGGAAGCAGTTCCCAAATCTCAGCATATGCCCTCCTGCGGGCTCACTACAACCCACAGTCACAAGAGCAGCTAAGTAAAATGCAACATAACTCCACTGTGCAATGCAGTAACAAAATAATGGGAATTTCAGAAACCAAAGTCCAGATGTAACGCTGGATCCAAGGGTGTTAGTGGGGAAACAGGCCTGCAGGAGCTAGCCCAGGATAGAAAGGTGGTAGTAGCTCAGGGCTCATAGTTCATGCACAGCAGAAGAAAATGAAGCAGATTCAGGCTCAAAAATATGAACTACAAGATACAGCAAAACTCTTAATCATGTGGCTCTGAGCAAAGCAGCAATAATAAATCATGCACAAAAATAAGTATTCATTTGTCAACAGCTTTTGTGCCAATGCTGCAATTTGAAGCAGTCATTAATCAACCCGAAGTACAAGAAACTTAAGTTTCTTCTGGAACTTCATAGCAGTTCTCACCCAGCTGCTAGACATGAGCTCTAGATACCTCAGGACTATCATAACATATCAGAAGTGAAATATAACAGCTAAGCTTCATATTGTCTTTGCTGAGGACAAGAACCACATACGAAATCTCACTTGTGTATTTTTTTTCAAGGATCAGAGCTGCTAATGATCACTACACAGTGAGTTTGATGAAGCTATTTACACCAGCTACAGTTTTGGGAAATGAGTCTCAAAAGAAAATGCAGGCTACTTCAGGAGTTGGATGCATTTGTCCCACAAGTTCTACTTTTAAGTACATGAAAAAATGCATCTTTTTAGACATTGATAAGACCAATGTAAATAACACTTCTTGTTAAACAACTCTGAGTAATACAGAGAAAAATAAATAAGGACCTCAACCAGCCCAGCCCATGTAATTTCACTGAGTGGTTCCAGGCATTCCCCCAATTCAGCCATGAACAGACTTACCTGTCGTCGCACATATGAGGGCTCAAGAATCGGGACGAGTCATCATCGTGGCTGCTTTGCTGGCTGCTCTGCTGACTGCTGCAATATGAGACAGGAAAACAGAAGCAATTAGACAGATTTGTATAAGTTCCTATGAAACACTCTGGCTTAAAGCCAGAACGAGAAAAACGCAAGGTTCATACTTCACATTTGGGGGTGCAAAGAGAAAACAACAGAACATAGTAAGTTCATATCTGATTTACAACAGGCGTGACTGGTTTGAAGCCTTTTAACCTCACTTAGTGACACTTTCCTAAGAACTTTCCTAAGAAATACAGACATGACCTTGCACATTGCCTATACACAGCGTTTCATCATGCCACCCCCGAACAGTTTCCTACAGCATAACATTCAAATACCGAACTGCTGCAAGTCCACATACTCCCCACTTCTAGGCAGCAGGACAAAACAGCAGTTAAAATGAACTCTTACTAAGGATGAAGTGGCCAACACTAAATTTCTGGTGGAGAGTTGCATGCTGAGCCCACAAGATGTCACTCTCCCTCTTTAAACGAGTGTTTTGGGGGTGATTTTTTCCTGTACATCTATTGTATGGAGTTAGCCTTATTCCCTTCTAGCAGCCTCCACCTGCTCCAAGGACTCATCAGGGTTCCTGCTTCTCATTTCTATAGCTTCAATTCTTTGCAAGAGCTTTCCTTCTGAGCAGTAGATAGATCTGATTCTGCCTTCAGGTAACAGACTGCAGCACAAAGAGTGAATGTTCCTGGGCTAGCTTTAATCTACTTTGCCTGGGTACCACTGGCTGTGGAGTCATGGCAACACAGCTTTAGCACAAACTGCACAGTCCCACCTGGGACACTGGGTACACTTGCCTGAGCACACAGGCTGTGCTAAAAATGCTGTGGCTTCACTATTGGTAGGACCTACGCTGTTCAAATAGAACTAGTTCAGGTATACATAACGCATGCTTGCAATCACAGCTTCTACTGCACTGTACACAGATCTGCACATGACATTGCCCAAAGGCACAGAAATACAAATACAGTATCAAAAAGGACCAAATTGCATCTTTTCATTCTAAAAAGCAATAATACTCAGGCAGTAACGCTTATTTTGGGGGGAAAACAGTACCAAAACACTGCAATAGGACTTTTCCATGAAGTCTACTTGTTTGTTTTGGCTTTTTTACCTGGCCTTGACCTTTTTAACCACTAAAAAGAGGATCCTATCTCTTGGAAGAAAACACTTGTTTCTGCTGTGCAAGAAGCATTCTCTAACTTCCCTTTCCATTTCAGCAATACTGTCTCTCCCTCTTTAAATTAATTTTTCAGGAAAAAAAAACATTAACAGAATTTTTTTCTTCTCTGAATGTACTCTATGCTTGCATAAAGAAATTATAGCTATTCTTACCTACACCTACTTATGCTTTACAATTCAACTACAGAAAGGATACCTCAAACGGTAACAAGTGTATTGACTCGAATACGTTAAGTCCCAAGCAAAAAAAAAAAAAAAAAAAAAAACCACACACCAAAAAGATTACTTTTACCACCACATAATAATAATAGAGAAAATACTTGAAAATTTAGAAGTT